CTGACTACCTAAAGAGTAGCCCTATCTTCCGATGTACGTCTAAAATGCACTATTTGTCTTCTGTTATGAGTTATGGCGTTTAAACTTGTAATATTATTTAGAGAAGGTTCATCATTACTATAATGGGTTAGGTTACATAAATGATTTCTTTCCCTACCAAGATGCAAATTAAAAACCGGAAGTAGTAATTTGGAGCGATTCTACAACGCCGGACTGAAATGGCAATTTCAGAAGCCGTTGAAAAAATACATATACATATATAGAGGTAGGTATACCCCAGGCAAAACATAACAGCACTACAACCATACATATTTTAAAAAGCAAATAACAAATTACGGAATATTAACATACTGTTTGACTGTTGTATTACAATACGGCAATTTATCATCATTATAGGATTTTATTCGATTTTTTAAAGCATAATACAAATAATATGCTTACCTAATCAGCTATAGAGAATCAAATTTGTTTTCATCAATACAGCGCATCAATTGGAATATCGCTAAATTACTTCAAAAGTCTAAGCAGTCCAGATAATAAAATACAAACTGTTTTTAGCCAATAATTAATTTGCTACATACGTAAATAAATTTACTTAATTTAGCTCCGACGACTGTGCGTTAGATTTACCTACATATCTTCTTCTTCTTTGTAGCATCGGCCTTGAAGCCATGTTATAAACATATTATATCCGCTTGTATTTCATTTCTAAGAAAATTATGTGCCATAAGTAAGCTATATACTTAAATTTCTTTATCCTTTTAAACGTATACTGGTCTATGTATATGTTAGTACTCATATCCTTATTGTTAATAAATTCCTGTTCTTTAAACCCATAATTGGTTTTCTGGTTCTCTAAAGTTCAAATGCTGTTTGAAATATTCTTCACATACTTAATTACATAATATTTCTTCTTTAACCGTTAATAGGGCTCCATCTTTATTTCAACGTCTGTCCGTTTGTATTCGCTACTTAAAGTATTATTCTTTCTGTGCAGTTTCTCGTTTTATGACTTGCGTAATCGTATCCTGTTTCTCCAACACATTTTAGATATATTATTGTTTTTCACTTGTAATAATTACTGTTTTCTTTCGTGTCTATCTCAGTTTTTATCTCATACTGTCAATTTTATCTCTGTCTATTAGCCCGTCGCCAACTCCCTAAACCAAAAAGAGGTATGATATTATTATTGTATAATAAAAATTTCACCAAACTAGAACAATACCAATACCTAATGGGATCACCTGCTTGGGGCTTTCTGCCAGTAGGAGCTCAGAACCCCGGGCGCACTAAACCTGTACCTAATACTTAATATTAAATAATAATTAGTGCCTCCCCCCCTCGAGAGGTAAATTACTTGTTATACTTACTAAATAACTATAACTATTTTATTCTTTGAAGTGAATATAATACTGTTAGATTTACAATAATAATATCTTGGCTTTTGTGTCAAAAGATGATTTTCTTAAAAATGTATGCACTCAGATTTTTCACACAAGATTTTAATCAAATAAACATTTGTGTGACTAACATTTTTATTGGAATAATTTATCAAAAAAAAATAATCATTTAAATAGTTTTTATTTAAATAACATTTTATTAATATATTATTTGGCTATATTCGGGCGCGGACTAGCAAAGAAAGGCGTGGTGCTACATCGTTTTGGGTGATATTGTTTAGCCTACTCGTGCTATCTATGTATACAAAACACAATAAAATTAACTTTCATACTTATTTTAAACGCGAATTTATATAACTTAACTTAAACAATAAACTTCTAGGGCCCCTTAGTACTTTTGTAGTTGTTCTATTTGGAAAAGGGGGAAATAAACATGATAAAAAAGATGCGATCACATCCTAGCATCTCAGCTAGTCTGAGCCTGGATATAGTTTTATTAGAAAAATTACCTTTAAACTTTGATTGGTAAAATACATAAACATTTAAAAATAAAAATAAAAATCTCTGAAAACGCTATAAATTAAACAGTCACTTGAACAGCACCTTTCTAGGGTCGTTATTGTAAATGGAATAACATGTTGTTGCAATCAAAAGTTCTAGTCGTTTTTACTGCTACTAACTTTCGAATTTCAATAACTAATTTTTACGAGTGAAAATAAATTCTAACCAAAGATACACACTGAATTGTTTTTCCATTAAAAAGTAATTAAACACTACAAAATGTATACTGATCTTAATAGCAGCGGGAAGTTGGGAAACTAATAGAAAGTTCCCTATTTTCAACTTGTCTGTACTATTATTATTATTTATTATACAGTTAGAATAATATGTTTGTATAAAAAGTTAAATACCTTTAAATATTTCTGGAAAGAATAACTTGGTAAAAAAATATTAACCTAATTTTTTTTTTTTTTTGTAAAGAGGTGATATCATTTAGAATAATTTAGACAAACAATTTAATTTTAAAGTTTAAACCATACTTTTTTTGCTGAATCATAATATGTGTACTATAGCCGGAATGTGTTTTAACCATTGTCCATTGGTATTAGAATACATAAAAAATAATTTTAGAGATAAATATTCTTTTGAATTTTCAAAAGTCACTGCAAACGCATTTTTCTTTTATTACAATCAAGAAGTAATACGAAGAGATTATCATATCTGTTATCATTATACCTATAATACACGTTTTAAAATACACATTATAACATGTATTAATAACTTATACAGATTAGAGTACAAGTAAAATTATATACACATTAAAATTATCCAATAACCACACAATATTGTTTGAATTATCAGGTATCTATTACATTTCTTATCATAACTTAAACAATTATATCAGAGTAATTTTAAACGCCCGAGATTTTCAAATGTAAATACCAGCTAGACAGGAAGGTCTTCTTCTAGATTACTTCTTTTGTTTTAGTTTGGATGCCAAGTTGATATTTGATTTGTTTTGTCATGATACACACCAAAAAATTCACGTTTTTGGAAATAAAAGTACTATACAGTAGTCCTAAAACTTAAGCTAACAGGAATAAATCTTTGTCATTTTTGAATCGGTTTTTAGAGTTATTCCAAAATAGTTTCTTATTGCAAGACATCCAAAGTTTTTTTTTAGGTGTCCATAGCTTGATTCTTTTATAAATACTATTTATGGCGTACAGGCGCAAAGAAGAGAGGGGGAGAGGAGTTCGGTGATTACAAAATAAAATCATTATTAATAAAATTATTAAGAAAATTCAGAATTATTTGAGAGGTTTAATTTTTACATAACTCCTACGAAGGGTAAATAATTTTTGGCTGCACTACTGATTAGTATACATTGTGTCTAAAATTACAGTTACCATGTAAAACTCTGTAGTTTATTTATACTGAAATTTTTACAGATTTAAATTATCGATTTGTTATTAAGGAGAACGAATATTATAATAATGATTACATTTATAATGTCAGAATGTTCTATTTTTTCAAACTCATGCAAGTTGCTTCAAACTGAAGAAATATAAAGAATATTTGTTTCATAGTTAATCTCATCGATTTCGATCAAATGGCTTTTAATGAAAATTATTTTATCAGGTCTTCCGATCCGTTATGGTATTTCTTATAAATTTGCTTGTCTATCGGCATGTAGAAAACGAGTAGTTATTTTTCAGTGTTAACATTTTTTTTGTAGGTATTGTTCATGCTTTTCGACGCACATATTGTATTAGAACAAAATATACATTATTAGCCATACAATAACATTGACTGCAGTTTAGGTGATAGCTACTCGGTTGCAAAGTATAATACATTCATGCGCTACTGTTATTGTATAAGGCAAAAATCGTATCGAGAAACAACACTTATGTCTATAAGTGTCAAATTATAAAATATAAATATATATACATGTAGACGTAAGTCGCGTAAACATATATATGTATATAAAAATATAGGTACTAACAAATAGAAACATCCACAATATTGTTGTTGTAGACATTTCTAGAGTGCTGCGGATATACTAATATATATGTATCTTAATAGTACATATACAAAATTTGCTTGCATTATATTGTCGACATGCCGTCGTCAGCTGAATTGCGTCGGATCCCCCTTTATAGGATTGTCAATGTGTGTCAATTAAAATATATACGTTAACGAAAATCGGTGGGGCCCTCGAGTAAGAAATATACACAAGTCGAACCGTTATGACGATATACCTGTGTCTTGTCTAATGAGCTCTGCACAGTCATTGTGATTTATCCGTGGGATCCCAGCGCGCGTACAGTAATTATATTTTTGTTTTCTTTAATTTTCGCAACGCTTGTCCGTAGGTGGAAAACCGAGCTTGGCAAATACTTGAAAAGAAAGTATTATATATACATATAAAAATATTATACATAGATATAACTTAACGTTTATATAAACACACACACTCACACATATATATAGTCTATTGCGATCAAGCTACTCCCCTCGCGAGCTCACGACGACCAGCCCGAACTTGGTGTACGTCAACGTTAAATAATAATATCGTATGATCAGTATTATTATGATACACTTTTTTTCGACTATGATATAATGATATTATTATGATACTGTCAAAGTCGATTGCCCAGTTTATGATTCTCCGGAGCCACTCGGCAATACAACGTACAATTAATCTTGACTCATGACCGGCCCGACATTTAGCCCCGGGCTCGAAGAAAATTTGACGCTTACAGAGAAATGATAAAGTATTAATTTTGTGTGTGCGTACCTTACTATGTCCAAGCACAGAAGTGTTATTGTGAAAAACTGTTCACTGTTGTGTGTAGAAGAATTCTGTGTACACGCTATAGGCGCACTTGCTAACGAGCGACCAAAATAAACTGCATTTTACTTGTTCCTAGCATGTATGCAGATAAAAAAAACTGAAGAAAAATAATCGTTTTTTTTCTTTTTTAATTTTTGTACATGTATATGATTACAACTGTTATATGTTTTTTTTAGTCGTCTCCGCGTTCTTGTACACATAGCCCACGGTTGTATAATACAATTGTATGTGTTTTTTTATAGGGTTGGTGATTCTGCGATCCGTCGAGTGTGTGAGAAATGTGCATGGAAAACGGGTGAAGACTCTTTGAACCGACCGTTTACCGCCCTTTCGACGGTACACAAACTCACGCACACGACATCTCAAAGCACACGTTTTTTAAATCGTAAGTACTGTGAACAAACATGTTGAACTGTACCGATCCGGAATGCATATTGCACCACCACCACGTGGATTCGATTCAGCATCACTTGCAGGATGACCGGCAGCACCACGAACATTCATCGAGTAAGTACTGTACAAATGATAAATATGAAAATGTTTTTTTTCTCGACTTGCGGCGTATAATATTACAACAAATAGTAGATAGATTTGTGACTGATATATGTAATAAAAAACCGACCTTCTACCGCTCATATTTAACAGATAAAAAATAGGTTTCAAATCATTATGTGGATTTCCCCTTAAATAAAAAATTCGCGCATATATTTTATGTTTTGGTACAATGGTCACATTATACAAAAAAAAAACTGAAAATACTGAAATCTGTACCGCTCTCGAAATGCTTTTCCTTAATATTAGTTGCCTTAATTTAATTTGAAGGTCAATGCAGCCAACAAATCAAGCGTTCTATGCAATCCGACCAATCATTGTTTATGTTTTTTGTACTTACACGTAATGTTTTTACACATAGGTACTATAATATCCATATCAATGACATAGTGCACTGATGTCACAAATTACATTTGTTGGGAAATCGAATTATGTATAGCAAGTAATACTTAAAAGGCTTTGTACACATTATGTAATTTGTACACATTTTAGAAGTCGGCGACTCATAGTTTTTCTGTTAGATAACTTACAATTTTATTAAATACATGTAATTACACAATAAAATAAATGATGAATTTTCAAACACCGTTCCTGTCAAATTTTTAAGAATGCACTTATAAATATTAGTGCATCATGCCATCCATATAGTATTGTACAACGGTCAGCAGAGTAAAAGTTTCACCCTCCGAGTATTTATTTCACTTTTGTGTTACTCATGCGAGTTTAAATTCGAATTTTATACCTACCAACAGTATTTAATAACAATAAAAATAATAATTATTACTATTAGTTTTTTATTTAATTTAAATTTTAAAGGTTTAAAATAAAAACAATCAACCATAAAATATATTGTAACCATTTGAAGTAATAACGTTTTATATTTGCCAAAAACGACAGTAATTTATAAGTATCCATCATAGTTATTTATCGCGAATGTTGTTTTTAACAAGTGTAATAAAGCATAAACAAAACCTTTCGACTAAAAGAAAAATTAACACAGCAAACTAGTTCTTCGAAACAAAATAGCTCATACACGCGATTGAAACATGTTTACTTTTTTTTTTACTATTTAGTAGACTCGTTTTTAAAAGAAAAATTGTTTTGAGTGAAGCAATAGTAATAATATAATTACCGAAACATGTAGAAATAACAATATGTTCTAAACTACGCATTCGGTAATTGGATTAAGCATAATATTATGTCAAACGCTAGTAATTTTAAGTTGTTACAGTATAACAGTATACCTAATAAAGAGTCGTGCACTCAATGTACCGTGTGTGGATATATAGCCGGTCTGATATGTGCCATATTAATATACCTACAACTATTAACTGACCACGAATTTTAGACTAATAAAACATTTTAATTACCGTTTTCAGTAAAATTGAACCGAAGTAGCACTGCTATAATTTATCAGGTATACGTAGGAAATATAATTTGCAAATATCGGTCAATATTAACCGCACAGATTTGTAGTTTATCTGAAAATAATTTTTTTTATACGTTTTTTTTCCATGATGTGATGACTATGTATATTTACCGTGTTAACACAATATATAGTCTTTGTACATTCTACAAAGCGTGGTAGCGTGTTCACGTTTGCTTTAAAGTTGCACGGAACCGTAGGTATAATAATGTTAAGTCCACTCAAGATTCGACTTCGACCGCTTATTTAACTGCGTGCAAACGTTAATTGAGAAGGCATTACCGAAAATCGTATTAAGGAACATTATGGATCGGATTACGCGGTGATCTATGTAATATTACGTATGGATATATGATATCATAAAGACTTGAATGGAGAGGGAAATTGTTACTCGAGGCGTCGTGGGTAAACGGCCTCCTCGACAACACTGATCCAGTATGGAAACGCCTGCGGGCGCCGGTACGTCTCCGAAAGGCACTTTCACTACAAGTCCCGTCGACTTAGTCCTTGAACGCCACGCATTTGGCCCCTAAAGCTTACCGCTCTGCTCCTCCCTCCTCTTCACTTTACCGGTACCCCTCGATGACCATGAATGACATTTCAGACATAATTGTTATAAATATACACCGATCAATAATTAATATGGTTTACACGGTTGAATTCGTACCAATTTCGTACTGGCCAGTAGTGACGTATATCTTAGAATTAACGATGATATAAAATGGTAACATAACATAAAAACGTGAAATATATGCACTAATGCACTCGGGCTAGGAACAAAACTAAAAGGCTACACTTTACTACGGCGAAACATTCTACGTAGTAGATGATTTTGTCAGTAGAAGGTGGTTTAAAATTGGATTTGGAAAAGTGAATAACTACACATAGACTATAGAGTCCGGAACAAGATTTACACATATATACATATTTTACTTAACAAAATAGTTTTAATACATTTAATGTAGATTTCTGTTAAAAAAAAAAACCTACACATAATATTTTATCTTAAAGAGTAAAATTATGAGTATGCTTGTTAGGTTTAGTTTTTGATTGCACATTCCAATTTATAAATTTACCTCTTAATTTTTTTTTAACTGTAACTATATTATAGAAGTGCTATAGTTATGTATTTGTGTATCAACAGAAAGTTGAACAGAGAAAATTAGATACCCGTGGATCTTAAAAAAACAAAACAAATTCTCATTTATCAGGAAATACCCTATAGGTACAAAGTGAAATGTAATTTATGATTTTTTTAGGAACTCTATACTTTTTGCATCGACATATTTTGTTAGTTAAATAAAAAATTACATAATTGATAACTATAAAAGTTATATGGATTTACAAAACTATGGCTGTGATTTTTAATTGAACGCCTACGACATAATATTATTACTATCGACTATCATACAATATTGTCTTTAGGTTATTATACAACATAAGGTAAAAAATTATCTTTAATGAGTGTTTAACATTGTAACCATTCTGAGTATGAAAAGTACACTTGGTTTTACGTTGTTTGCTTATTTTTGTTGTTGTACAGAGTACATCATTTTTTTAAATACATTTTTACTTTAATACTTCAAAATATGATGACTTGGATTACTAAATAACTTCAAATCTACTAACGTAACTATTTTGATTAATCATCACTCCAATTTTGATAAACAAACAAATTAATTAATTAACTCAATATACCAAAAATGTTAACGTTTTTGTCTTTAGAGAAATTATTTTTATCTTAAAAAGTATGTTTTTCATCAAGGTGTTAAAACATATTTTTAAATTGTATAGGTATTATAGGTATATTACAATTAAAAAATTTATAATAGGTATAATATTTTAACTTTTAATCATTATAGGTACATTTGAAGGATTTCTTTTGTTTAAATTTTTTTTTTTTTTAAATTCACTTTAAAATAATTATCGATTTATTTTAAAATTCAGTTGACAATGCATACTCTATATTTCATTTAACTCCAACTTGTTTTTTAACCTCGGTTTTTAGTAACGTGTAAGTTAACAGATTGGCTACCTTCCCATTATTGTTTATTTAGTTGCCTACATCGGATGGTTTAACCGCGTCGTTACGCTCGTCTGTTAAATAATTCAGTACAATAAACATAGTAAAATTTCATTTATTTGTTCTTGCTTGTCCTACTAATCATTTGTAGATATATTATCGTAATAAAAGTCTAAACGGATCATGGAAGATACATAGGTCGAACAATTTTTAAAATATGTATGTTTTTTATCATACTAGTTATTTGTTAATAGCAAATTCGTGCCAAAATACATCAAGAATTCTTCATATTTGGCGGTTTCAAGAACAGGTATAGTCTATATATTTTCCACTAAACTCATTTACCGTGAACCATATAGTAAATGCAGGTATACTCGTATCATATGTATACATAGAATCCCACAGAATAGTCGAAATATTATCTAAGCGATTATGAGTAATGAGTATTTAGCATTTGTGGATAAATTCTAAAAGCTTATTCGGATTAATGACGGATAAAGGTGGGAGGAAGGGTCAATGGACTTTTCGTTGACCTTTTTTTTTATTTACGTTATGATTCGGGGTATAGCCAACGCCCAAATATCAATCTCAGAGTACCCAGAGTCGTAGGTAATCTATGGTTTATCCTAAAACCATATAATATTATTGTTGTTTGATTTTTAAATGTATAACACATACCATTAGAAAGAAATATAACGTTTAAGTAACAGATTATGTTTTTGTCAGTTTGAGATACAAGTGTAGATACGAACAATCACAAATAAATATAAAAAGTTGCCAATAAATTTTCATAATATCTTAGATTATTAGATTGTATAAACTCTATTAGGAGTTTTTACTTTTTATTGATTTTAATAATTTGTTTTGAAAGTAGTTTGAACGTATTAATTTCGCAGAAATACTTTTATTGGAAACATGCCAATAAAATTGGGTAAGTAATAGACAATGGATGTTTCTTCTTTATTCGCATATACATATTATTACTTACTACAATGCCTGCTAATCTAACGAGTAACGGTTGTGTGGCTTTACGTAACTATCATAAACACGGTCACGTCTTGAAGTCGTGTAATCTGCAGACGGCAATTTTTATTTTTTATTATTATTTTTAATTATTACGATGTTGTTAAAAAATTCGAATTTTTAAGACAAACATTGTTGTCATTGAACAAGAACATTGTTCCAGAACAATTAACCATTGCAATTAATGGGTTAATTGGGTCTATGGAAATATTATTACAATTTTGGAAAGCGTCGAGAAAAAAGATTTGTTATTATTTTATTTTAACCTTCAATGACCAATTTCTAATTCAACAATAAAATACGTCTTGATGGGTTCGATTTTGAAATCAATGACATTATCTAGTAGAAACTAGTATAACTGCTGTCCAAGACTAGTCTGTATTATTTAATTATTATTATGGTATTTTAAGCAGCTAACGTATGCAATATTATATCCTTAATTTAATATTGAACAAATAATATTAGGAATTATTCGCTTTTATA